ATGGCGCGTTTTTGGGTATGGCGCCAGTGACTTGCATTTTTCTAGAATTATTTTAGTTATTTGATGATTTGACATAAATAATAAGATGCTTGTGATGAATTTGTTAATTTAAAAAACTGCTCGCTTAGTCTTCCAAGAATGCTCATAGGGATATGATACTTGAATGTGTTCGTATAGACGAGTGTGTGATTTGATAAAAAAAGAAACATGCCTTCTCAGTACACGAACAAGGCACGCTGTTAGATTAACATTTGAGCCTACCTGTACGTGGGCCTCCAACGTCAAAGGGGGTTTCCATCCTTGCCGGTTCCTTACGCTGGTGCCGGGAAACGGGATCTAAAGTCCGGTTATATATACCTCCACGTAATGAGTAGTTTTACGTTAGTTAGGGTTAGTTTTGTCCATGGCAGTGCATGTGCCGCGTTTCCATAAGATTTTTGCTTCCTTCCTCTTGTACGGTGAAGATGCGACATCTATGCACCCCGTTTGGCTAGTCATGTTCTCGCTTGTTCCAACTTATTCTCCCTCACAGAACACTATTTATTCATTTAAAACCATCCGAAATTTACTGTTCACCGGACCATCCGAACGCGCTGCATGGTCTTCTCTGATGAAGCAGCAGTGAGTATGGTTTGCTTTCTCTAATAATAGAGGGGATGGAGTTCGATCGGCTTCCGTGATTGAGGTTCTTCTCCGGCATGTCGGTTCTGCATAGTTGGTACTCGGTAGTGACGTTGCTCATACTTCCTCGGAAGGGGAAGGTTCTTTTACCCATCTGGCAAGGTTGCCTTGTTCATTTAGTGGTCTCAATGCGTCTCGGCTTTCGGACGCTGCTCGTTGTGGCTTCAAAGACTGTTATGGCTTTTAGTGGCCATATCTTGTCAGTTAAGGATGTCTCAGCTCCAGTTCCTTCGACCCAGCATGGAATTGGCGATCGGGGAGGAAGAAGAATTCATTTATCTCTTTGTTCCTACTTCAACGGCTTGAATTTCTTTTGATGTCTTGAGTGTTTTGCATGTAGGTGTTCGGCATATACACACATGTTCTATATTTGAGGTGGGTGATTCTTTGATCTTCATCATAGCCTACCTCAAGTCCATCTCTTGTAACCTTAAGACTACACTTTGTACGCTAGGAAACATTCTTTGTCTCATTGATTTTGTTGTCACTCAACTATACCAAAATCACTAAACCCTTGTTCGGTTATGTTTTGTTTTTGTACTATGTTATTTACTGTAAATATGAATACAAAAGCGTGGCCACTATTCAGGAGAGGTTAACAAAGTGTTTTATATGGTAGTAGCTTTGAAGACTAAACAACCAGGTACATTAGTAACTAGTACTCGATAACAACTGTAATTAAACCATGACTGCGTCTCGATAACGACTAACTAGTCCTGCAAATGCGCCGTGCACGCCACTGTATGCATGTGTGGTGCAGAAAAGAACAAATCCGTGGACAAACACACGCAACAAATTAAACGACGACGACGTTTTTTCTTCTCCCTTGTGTCGTGTCGGTGTCGCCGGAGCAACGTTGCCACTTGCCAAGCTAATTGGTCTCCCTGGCACGCTCCAGCCCGTTCACAGAGACTTGGCGGATGGAGTATTGCCTTTCGTTTTGACCACCTGATAGGGACTTGCGCCAGATTTTTTTACCCCGTGTTGATCGATATGCATTAATTGCACTTCAAATTTCAGGTGAGATATTTCTTCCTCCTTTCACCCTGTAGATCTTGTTTGGATGCGTATGTATTTATCTCAATCTACATGTATTGAAGTGGATTAGAGTGGAATTAAACTAAGTTCCACTCCAATTCACTCCACACACGTGAATTAAAGTGAATACACATGCATCCAAACACGGCCGTAATAATTTCATCAACCAGTGTGCCTTTGTTTCACAAGGATCCGAAAACCGGCCGGATCATCACTAGCTAGTTTACCAGACATGGTAGTTTGTTATATGCTACTGTAAATTTGAGCAATTTTTATTTTGTTCTCCAATGTTGTGTTTCTCCTTTTACCATATCATTAGGCGTTAGCGTGTAGATTTAGATGCCGTTTGGTATGGTCTCGGCTTCTCTAAAAAGAAGAAGGCCGGGAAAGATATGTTTTTGCAGCTTTGGGTGAAAATGGCTAGTCTCAGTAGAGCATCTTCAAAAGTTTTTCTAAAAATTTCTCTCTAAATTATTATTTGAAGAGTTATTTGAGTAAAAATTTCTTCTATATTTCTATACCTTCCAACAACTTTTCTATATCTTATACGCACTTAAGAGTTATCCTCGCTCTCTATCTTTAGCTAGCAAGAAATATTGAATATAGGATGTTTATATTTGGAGATCAAATTAAAGAGGTTGTTGAAGGATATTTTTTTACTAAAATCTCTATTTACGTAAATTAAGAAGGATTTAAAGAATCTTTTGGTCATGCTTGTATGTTTGGCTTTACAGTTTACAAGCCGTTCCTACATATGTAGGTTTGGTAGACTTTTTAGTTAAACCGATTGAGAAATCCCAATAAAAATCTTGCCTAAGAAGTCCTTGCATCTTAGTGGTGGTGAAGGTATTTGATGGTGAAATGGCAAGACAACCAAAAAAAAAAGGTTAAGTATCTGAGGCTCTGAGCTACCTGACAAGGAAATGCTTCTCCATGCATATTCAGAGAACCGTCGAAGAACTAGGCTTAAATGCGACCACACGTACGTCTACGTAAGGAGGGGAAGCCAGGAAGAACGCGTATATCTCGTACTTCGTTTCAAATTACAAACATTTTGGCTTTTTCTAAATACACTGTTTTTTAAGTTTTCAGTCGTTGCATCAAAGACTTTGAAGTTATTTGGAATGAGTGATGCATTCTCCAGTTGTATGGTTTTTGACATGGTTTTCACTTAAAAAACTATTTAGCATTTGTCTTTTTTCGTGTAATAAAAATAGTAGCAAAGTATTTGCCATCCTTTTAGAAAAATACATTAATTTTGCTATGTATCTCGATATAGTATATAATAATGGGCCTTACTAGTGCCTAGACGTCCGGACGACGGTGCCTGTTACTCCATTCACGCGCATCCGCGCGAACGTAGGAGCCCATGCCCCCCTCGGCGCCTCCCCGTTTGGACACCCGAGCCCCATCCCACTTCCCGCCCACGCCCCCTCGGCTTTCGGCATGCGCATGCCGCGCGGGGACCGCCTGTGCCCTCCTCATTCGCTTCCGGCGTAACTTTCCCGCACCGCCCCGAATGTCACCAACATCGGGAAGAGGAGTAGGGGCGCGGAGGATGCCCAGCTGGCGCCTAGAGGAGGAGAAGACACCGAGGCGAGGCAGCAGAAAAGCGACGAGGGAGATGCAACACCTGATTTTCTTTTGAAACATCAAGATGCAACACTTGCGTATGTCTGAAGCCAGATGAAACACTTGAAACATGCTTCTGAAACACTTGCAAAAAGCACCTGAAAAACACTTGAAAACATTGCAAAATATACGTAATATTCAGATAAAACACTTGCAACATATGTGTAAAACGTATGCAACATCCAGATAAAACATACTTGAAACATACATCCGAAAACACAGATGAAATATTGGAAACAGACCTTTGCAACATACGTGTATAACCATTGCAACATATGCAACATCTCGATCTACTTTTAGCAACATCCGCATGAAAACAACTGCAACATACTTATGAAACAACTGAAACATAAGTTTGCAACATACGTTTTCAGCACATCGCAATATCTTCTTGCTGCTTGGGAGAATGGAGGCCCGTCAGTGTGCGGAGTTCGCCGGAGGCAGTGGCCCCGCGGCGCTTGTAGGCGTGGGCCGACAGCAGCGGCTGCGCGAGGCATCAGCCACGCGATGCGGCAGGGAGGCAGAGGGCAGCCGCACGCCACGCCTGGCAGGCAGGGCCGGCAATCCGGTGGCCGAGCGCCGTGCCTGGCAAGTAGGGCTGGCAGTCCGGTGGCCAAGCGTTGCTCCTCAGAGGCGGCAGGCGAGCGGATAAAAGAGACGAGATTTTTTTTTTAAAACGAACGAGGGAATTTGGGAGGGTCGTTGGACCGGTCCATGCAACGGACGGACGTGACCCCAGTATTATCGTATAATAATAGTAAAAGCTATGTACTTAAAAAAAATAAAAGAGCCTATAACTTAGAACGAAGAGTATTTTAATAAGAGGAACTCATGGTTGCACGGAGTCGAATAGTTTGTGATGCTAGGGAACGACGTTATCCGGTTAAGTTGGCGGGATGGGCGGGCGGGCGGACGGACCCTTACCGTCCCGTTGCCGTGCACAAAAAGGCCCAGCAGATTGGTGGGGTGTCACTAACTCATTTATGAACACCACGACGCACAATTGAGGGCACACGTCCGCTGGCTAAAACTTCCTTTGACAGGAATGATGGTGGCTAGGTCAATCCCCTTGCTGAACAAGGCTTAGATTAACACTATTAAAATATTTGTGCGTGCTCCGGGCCTCTTTCATCGAAAGTACACCTTACTAGTCTTAACGACCTGAGAACAATAGAAAACTAGTTTTTCCATGCTCACAAATCATTTATTAATATAATAAATAAATAAAGTACAAGTGTTGTCCACAAAGAACTAGCTCCCTGCTTGCTTCGAAGAGGAGCATGGTTCAACGTTCTTTTTTTTTTTTTTGACAAATGGTTCAACGTTTAGTTAGTAACTTTTCCATTAAGCATAGCCTAGTTCGGCACAAGCCAATAAGTAGCCTGTCTCTTATCTATCAACTTGAATAAATAAACCTATAATCCATCCTTATATCTGTACTATTAAACCAAGGTCTAATAAGAACCCAATTATTTACATCCAACGCACGGTATGTGCAGGTACGTGCGTGGCAGGCAGTATTAGTATACACACAGAGTAGTTTCACATCACTTGGCCGTAGCACAACTAACAAGTTGCTGCTACCTGCTATGCTACCACGGCAACTTGTGCTTGATGATGATGATACTCTGTTCTGATCCTCCATTCCATCAGAATCCATCGTAGAAGCCACCGAAGGATATGTTGGCCCTCGTGGAAGCTCCTCCTGCCCCCATCACCGACGACATCGCCTGGTTCAGCCTCGATGTCTGCTGCACCACTTGCTGGATCCTCTGCAGATCAACACAAGTCAGGCAGGCATCTTCTTCAGACAAAGTTGTTGTCATGGATACGATACTATACCATACGACGAATCAGTTACTTTCATTTGTCACTCAAAGAACAAATAGAACAAGCTGATCCAAGAATCTGCTAGTAGTTTTCTTTTTTCTTTCAGTTTGCATCAGACAAGATGAGATGGCCGGCTGGCTAATCCATTTGATAAGAAATAAGATTAAGAATGCCCAAGGTAGACCGTAATAATAATTAATCTAAGTGTAGAAAACGACAGGCATGCTAGTTTCATATATTGTCTGTCAAGCTCAAACCTCGCATTCATATCCAATTAATTACTAGGTCAAATTAAAGAATCATTGCAGAAAGTGAGAGATTATGGATTAGGGAGAAAGAAAGACAACGGTGAATGGGTCATCGAACCTTATCATCGCCGTAGAACTGCAGCTGGATCTTCTGCTGCTCCTGCTGCCGGTGGTGATGCTGCAGCCTGCCTCCAATGAGGAAGATGCAGACGGAGGCGGCCGCGACCCCGAACGAGCACAGCGCGCCGATCCCGTTCACCTTCAGCTTCCCCACGCTGAACACCACGCACTGCGGCGGCCGCGCCTTGTCGTCGTTGCTGTCCTCCTTCTTGATATCTTCTTCTTCATCCTCTTGAGCAAACTTGTCGTTGTCGGCGTCGGCGGCGGTCTCCTTGGCATCAGGGAGGCTCTGGAAGGCCTTCTTCTCTTCCTCGCCTCCGTCGTCAGAGGCCATCAGATCGGCAACATAACTGGGCACTGGTTTGGTCTCATCAGTCACAACGCCGATGTCCTTGCACTCGTCGACAGGCACATGCACATCAACGTCTTCTGACGGAGGCAGCAGATCATGTTCCTCTGTTTCTTGATCTGGTATGCAACCAACCAACGAATCAAAAGAGATCCAGATGCTGTTTACGAATTACGACGACACAAGAAGGGGTGATCCTTACCATCAAGATTCTTGCTGTCACGGCTCATCGAGAAGCTCCTGTTGTCTGGCAGGACCTCCCAGTCCCACACATCCAGGCTTGCTTCCATGGAGACACCTGCTCCTCCTCCTATTGCAAGCAAGCTGATGCAACAACGAAAGCTGCAGGATCTAGTAGTTACGCAACAGTCAGCCAGGCAGCAAAGCCTACAAGTATCAACGGCCTATATATAACAGTTGCTTTACAAGCATCAACTTGATTGTATTGTTGTCTTTCGGCTTTCTCTTCCTTCACTGCAGGGAAACAAGGCGCCTGCCTGCCAGTGGGATCGAGAAAGCTATAAGTGCAGGTGCAGCCACGCATCGGCTTCACGCGGCTTGGAGCTCGCTCCTTTGCAGCAAAGGAGAGACGGCAGAAAGAGGAGCTTGTGTGTGGGCTTGTCCTTCCTGCTAGCTGACAAGGGTGAAAGTAATGGTCCTTGGGGCCCACCACTCAAACTCGTGGTAGACTGTTCTAGGCTTCTAGCAGAGGCGGTGTTGTGCTTGATTTAGAGCAAGCAATCCATAAACAGGAAAAGGTAAATCTTGCAAGGGATGAAAACAATGGGCGAATATCTATCTAAGGCTTGCTACTCACTCAACCTGCTAAATTAACTAAATAAAAGGAATAAAAAATAAACAGAGATGAACCCTAGTTGTGTGTGTTGTCACCACCAGTAATAATTGCGCTCACTGATTGTCCTCTAATGAGTAGGCGTTGTTTTCTAGCATATCTTAGCATCTAATTTCACCATCAGAGTTACTGTATGTTCAAGTTTAGCGCAAAAGAATCATTACCTGCTTTTCAGGTTCTTTTTTTTTTCTCATAAAGCTCCAGTGTAAGGGGACATACCTATCTGTAATATAAAATCGAAGAACATTCCGGAAAGTTAATCACAATTAGATGCTTATACTTTACACACGATAAACTGAATACATACCAAACTGATATAAACTAAGGTGTGATTTGTAGGTTACTAGATGGTAGACAGGTATGACGTTACGGCACAGCACATCATCCGCAAAGGAGCTGTGAAAGGAAATAAATTGTATGATAATTTGGTATGTATATAAAGAAAACAAGGCCTTGTTTAGATTGCATCAAAATTCCAAATTTTTTCACTCTCTCTCCATCACATCAATTTTTGGACGCATGCATAGAACATTAAATGTAGATAAAAAAAACTAATTACACAGTTTGGTTGTAAATCACGAGATGAATCTTTTGAGCCTAGTTAGTTCATGATCAGACAAAATTTATCAAATATAAACAAAATGTGCTACAGTATCCAGATTATAAACATTTGCGATCTAAACCAGGGCAAGTGAAAACCAGAGTACAAACCAGGGCGAGAGCTCTTGACAACGAGAGGCGCGGTCAGAAGCTTCTGTAGAAAACCACCTCAAAAAGCTGAGATGTGACCCCAGACAGAGATGGACGACAATCATAGTCTCCGTTTACGTGTCCTTAAACTTGATCCGCTTCTTTTTTCATTTAGAACAGTATTTTTCTCTCACAGATTTCTTCAGAATTCCTCCAAACTATCCAAATTTCTCCAGTACCATACCATCCGAACGGGCCATACTGGAGTCTTCGAGGCCGTTCGGCTGATCCATAAGACTACTATATATTAGTTTGTTTCGGCTAATTTTAACTAATTCAATAGTATTTTGTGAGAGAGAATAAATTGAAACAAGCTGACTAGCCGAGCCGAACAAGCGAAATCACAAACTGGGCAATTTGAAACTGGAGAGTGCGATTTCGTGCCTATCACGAGAGCTAGATCTACTGCACACTGCAGTACTGCTGGATTTGGGGGTGTGCAGTACTCTGCGAGCAACTCCAATAGAGCTTCTATTTAGCCCCCTAATTAAATATGAAGACTCCGGCTAAAAATCCAACCCCAGTATGCCCTGCTAGGATCCCAAAGTTTGGCTGGCACCCAAATTTTCACCTCAGACCCCGTTCCTGTTGGTCACTCCCCGGCCCCCATCCTGAGGCCTTGTGTAGATTACAAATTTTGCTCTCCGCGCGTTTACGTTTATTTGACAAACTTTGTCCGATCATGGACTAACTAGGCTCAAAAGATCCGTCTCATGATTTACAACCAAACTGTGTAATTATTTATTTTTTTTACCTACATTTAATGCTCCATGCATGCGTTCAAAAATTGATGTGATAGAGAGAGTGAAAAAACTTAGAATTTGGAGGCGATCTAAACAAGGCCTGAGTTGCGGCCGTTTTGCTCTCCCGTGGTTCAGACGAACTGCTCGTGCGCCATTGTGTCTCCTCGACGGACTCTTGCTCCTTCCCCATGCTCCTCTCCTCACCTTGCAGCAGCGCTCAAACGCGGCCAGCTGCGCCTTCTCCGGCGGTCCCCTCTCTGCAGCCTGCAGCGCGGCGCGGCGCGCCGGAGTCCTCGCGAGCGCTGCCACCGCCAGCAGCGCGTCGCCGGAGCCCAGCCCGCACCCTTCAATGGCCAGCACCCGCACCTTTCCCCTGTCCCTGTTGGCCCCGTTCGCTTCGTAAAAAAACAACCCGAAATATTATTCCGGCTGATTTGTTGTGAGAGAAAAATATTATTTCGTCTGAAAAAAAATAAGCTAAAAAGTACGGATTATAAGACAAGTGAATATGGCGTTGTCCTCCCCGGATTTCGCCGCGGCGAGTGGCCTCCTTTCCGGGTTGCGACGCAGCCTCCACTTGGCCGAGCCAGAGCTGGTCGCGAGGACGGGCTAGGCCTCCTCGGCGTGGCCTCCTCTCCGGTTGCGGCGCCGCCTCTACTTCCCCCGGTTGCGGCATGGCCTCTACTTCCCTGACGGGTCCGCCCATTCCCCGCTGCACTCCCCTCGGATCTGGATGTTTTGGCCGAGTTAGTCTATGACAACTAGGTCCCATATGTCATTGGCAATAAAAATGAATTTGGGAGCTTTATTTTGAGGGCCACTGCTGAAGTGCAGTCTAAAAAAAATAGTAGGGCTCTTTTTTCTTTGGCTACTGGAATTGCAGTAGTAATTAATAATTGAGGAAAAACAAAACGAGATCGATGGGCACACACACCGTGGAGCCAACGGATGCGATGTGCGCCCCCGGGAGCGGTGTTGGGGGCACGGCGGCGGCGCACCACCTTCACATCGGGATCACAACGGATGCGATGTGCGCCCCCGGGAGCGGTGTTGGAAAGCGCGGCGCGGACGCTGGTTGACCGGTGACTAGGAAGCCGTCGTGGGGCTGGGGCGGGTGCTTGCGTGCGCAGATCAGATGCTTGTGCTTGCAAGGAGGGTGTTCTGGGCGTGTTTTTGTAATTGATCAGGCAACGGCGAGCCCGGGCGGCGATCGTGCAGGGCAGCCGCCGTGGCACTGGCTAGGTCGGCGCCAGCGGATTGCGAGTGGCGGGCTAAAATGGGCGACGTAAGGTGGGCCATTTGTGGCCCACTAGCGCAAAAATTTTTGGCATAGCCTCCTAGGGAAGCAAGCAAACCGGGTCTCACATTGGATAACCCTTTCTTTCTTTCTTTTATATAAAAAGAAACTAAAGGGAAAAGTCTTTTTACCTCTCTAACCTATCGTCTTACACCTTGTTCGCTTCATCGTATCAGCCATGCTTATCAGCTATAGTATAGTGTTTTTCTCTCACAACAAAATAACATCAGCTGGTTTATAAGCCACAGAAACGATCAAGCGAACAGGGTGTTAGTGTATAGATTTTCTTCTTAAACCCCCAAAATGGGCAAACTGTCTCTCTCAACTCCTAAAGCCACTTCGGAGAAACTATCACCTGGACATCCGGACGTCGCGCTCCGCTGCCCGTCTGTTTTCAATAATGATACCCTCAGGGCATTTATGGATGCATCTTCGTACTCCGTTTTGCCTCGTGCTGCGCACCTACTGCCTACCCATGATGAAGCTTCGTGCTCCGCCCCTGCTGCCACAACCATAGATACAACTTTATGCTTTCACGCCTGTGTCGCGCCCGCTTCGTTTCCGTGGGCACGCGGGGACCACTGCGCCCGAGGGGACCACCTTCGTCTGCGCCCCTTTGCCACATCTACTTATGAAACACTTGCAACATAAAAGCATTTGCTGCAACACGTCTGAAACAGATGAAACATTTACAACATACATTTACAACATATGTGTATGGGCACTGCAACATATGCAACATCCAGAAAAAAACAATTATAACATATGTTTGAAACAACTGATATATTTGAAACATACACTTGCAACGTACGTATATAGTCAGTGCAACATTTGCTACACTTGCAACATATGATTGAAACGGTGAAACATTTGAAACACACACTTGCAATATACGTGTATAGTCATTGCAACATATGCAACATCCAGATGCACACATACATATGAAATGCATGAAACATACGATTGCCACATGTGCTCATCTATATGCTGCTCTCCAATAGACGCTCGTTGACGTCGAGCTTGACGCCGACACATAGCTCAATGACACGGCGCGGACCTCGGACCTCGAACCTTGGCTTTGCGCAGTGCGAGGCGCAAGGCACGAGGCATGGGGGCAGGCGGGATAGACGTTCAGTAGAGAGAGCATTGCCATTTAAATTATCTCCTTGTCTGACAAGTTTTTTTTGTTATTTGTATAATAAGCTTATAAAAGTTCTAAGAAAATTTTAACGATATTTTAGGGACATGATAGATAAAAAAAAAATTTTAAAACTTACGAAACTATATTATTGAGAAAAAATTCAAAAAATAGATTTACCTCTAGAAAAATAGAGGAAAATATCCATAGAAAACTAAAAATTTCCTAAAATGTTATAATCAAAATCTAAAGGTGTTATAAAATCTTTTCATAGTAGGAACACGAGATAACCAGGGTTGTGTGTTGCTTCTGGTGCTCTGGTGGCAGGCACGAGTAATGGCTCGTTTGGTAGAGCTCCGGCTTCAACCAAAACAGTTTTAGTTATGGCTTCACTTGTGGAGCAGATTCAGTTGTGGACCTGAATCAGTTTTTTAGACCGTTTGACAAAACAGCTTCGCCTGCTAGTCTAAAATGACGAAATGTCCATAATAACCCTCTTTTATTTTTTTTTTTTCTTTTTCTATTTTCTTTTCTTATCTTACCTTATCTGTTCACCGCTCGCCCTCTAAAAACTGCACGAGTTGGGGCCCTCCTCCTCCTCGCCCGCATCATCGGCCAAAGATCCACCGCCACCCTTCCTTGTCCCTAGGAGCGCATCGAGACCTTCTCGTCAACACGGCCGCGTGGCCTGCACTCCGCCGCCCGCCGCCACCCTCCACACGTCGATGCACCATCCCCACCTCCGCCACGCCGGCGCACCCGCCCCAACCTCCACCTCGTTGGCGCATCCACCTCCACCACGCCGGCGCACCCGCCCCCGACCTCCACCTCGCCGGCGCACCCATCTCCACCACACCGGTGCACCCCGCCCCCACCTCCACCTCGCCGGTGCATCCACCTCCAGCTCCGGCGACTACACGTGCTGCCGTCAGGGGCAGATCCGACCTCCACGCGCTGGGGTCCACAGATGGCAGACGGGCGCTAGGAGAAACTCGATTTTTCGGCTCCACCCGGTGCAACTGGTACGTGAGGGCGCGTTTTGCGGGGATCACAAGAGGAGCACGTTCAGAAACTCGCGTTTGGTACTGGGAGAAAAAAAAACAGCTCCCGGAGCTACCGCATAATCCATACCAAACTGCCCCTAAACTTGGGAATAAATACGAGAGAATATCCGCTTTCCAGCTTCCGCCCACTCTCGAGCTTCTCCTGCAGTGCTGCGGCTCGCTGCGCCGCCCGCCACCCGCCGCCGCCGCAGGTGCTCCCGCTCAAGCCGCCTCCCGGGGCCGCGCGGAAGCCGCTGCACGTGCTGCCTCGCCACGGGTGACGGGTGCCCGGCGCTCGCCGCCGCCTGCCTCGTCTACCATACCTCTACTACCGCCCGCGCGCGCCGTTGCTCGACCCGCAGCCGCTCGCCCCCGTGCGCCTCCGCCTCGGCAACTCCTCCGCCGTGTCCGCCATGGACGCCACCGCCACCGCCGGCGTCGTCTCGTGGAACCCCAACGAGCGGGTCGCGTTCCGTCCCGGTACTGCGACGGAGAGGGCCGCTTCGCGCTGACCGACGACGCCGACGGCGACGTTGCGATGGGGGTGGGGCGCCAGTGTCCGGCTTCGACCACGCGGCACGGAGCGTCGCCGCCGTCGCGCTCGTGGCTACCACCTCGGGCGTCGCGGCGCTTACCGGCGGCGGCAGCATGCCTTCAAGTTGGTCGGGGGCGCCCACGTCGGCGTCGGCGTTGGTGCGCTGCGCATCTCCTGATTCCTATACTCTGCTCTTGTACGTCATCTCCTGCTTACCCATTGGATAATCCATCACCCACTATAATTTTGGGATGGATTAATTAGATTGTGTGATTTTCGGCCATGTGTACTGGATACTAATCCATTCATTCCCCAACGTCACGCATCCGTTTGCGCCGACGCGGCTCCGTGTGCCGCTTTCTGTTCTGAAATCAGCGGCAAGGTGGAGGCAGCTCGATCCCTCGCGCTCCCAGGCAGCTGCGGATGAAGTGGTACTCGATCCTTATATGCTTGCTCCTCTCATGGAAGACTGGATTCTTGGCCAGAGCAAGTGCTGATTTGCTGTCCACCTTCAGCTCCACCACCTCGACATGTCTGCCGAGGAGCTCTGCTAGTAGCCTGGAGAGCCACAGAGTCCTGGCCGGAACATTGCAGCAGTAGAGGTGTGGCAATGTACTCTGCTTCGCACTGAGCAACGCTTTGGCATATATCCTTTGAGTCTGCTAGCAGAGCAAGCTACCATGGCAGTGCATCTTTTGCCCTTCTGACCAAGCAATTGCCGAGGAAGAAGAGTGTTCCACTCGTGCTCTTGCTTGTGTCGATGTCGCCAACAAGCTGAGGTCTTTGTCTGTCTTCACTCTTCAGCATATCTGCATATACAATCGTTGTGAGTGGAGCCAGCCATATACATTGTGTGAAGTGCAGACCGTGGTCAACCTGCGTGCCATCAACATAGTGGAGAATGCGCTTATCACACTTGTTGGTGCTCCCACCGTAGGTGAATTCCATGAACCGGTGGTGATGGAAGCCACAGGGGAATTCCAGATCGTGCGAGTGTGTGCACCAGTAGCGCAGACTCCCGATGAGGCGCCCCGGTGTGTGTGGGATCGGCATCACTGGCCAGGCTTTCATCAGGGATGAGCTACTAAGCCTCAAATTTCCTGATGGCTCCTCCATTGGAGTATGGGCGGGCACAAGGTGGTCAAGACCATTCCGCCGAGCTCCAGAATCCTCTTGGCATAATGTGTCTGACGGAGGGTGATGCCGGTGGCATCTTGATGCACCTCGACGCCATCACACATTTCTAGTGCAACAATGTTTGGCAACAATGTTTGGCATTGAGGAAGCAAGGAGGCAGAAGGACTAAGAAAAAGTGGATCTTAACCAAATGATCAATGAGAGGAATGAGGGTCTTAGAGTGATTGTTGTGTGGGGAACAAGTGGTGTTCTTAGCCAGACCGTTGTCATCAAAGGAGTGTATGATGATCTGAAGAGAAGCAACAGGTTTGAACAATTCGCTTGGATCAGGATTGTGCATCCTTTCAATCCACTGGAGTTCCTCCAGTGCATTATGAGGCAGTTCTATGAAACTTCTTTTGAAGTAGGGAAGACCCAAGAAAAAACTAACATTGGGGCTCAAGTTCTTAAGAAGATGGGGATGATGAAACAAGATGATTTGGTTGATGCATTCAGTGAGTATGTGAATGAGAAAAGCTATCTGATTGTGCTTAATGACCTGTCCACCGTTGAAGAGTGGGATGCGATTAAGAAATATTTTCCGGACAACAAGAAAGGAAGCCGAATCATTGTATCAACAGAGCACGGTGAAGTTGCAAGCCTATGTGCCGGGCAAGAATGTACAGTGTCAGAGCTCAACCAATCATCTGTTTATCAAAGTATTTTTGGTTCCAAGGTAATATCTATTGGAAGCTCTAATCATCTAATTAGTTTAGCTGTTCCTGTTCTTCTAGATCATTACCTCTGCTAAATTATATCACAGGTCTGCTACAGCTAGTATTCTTTGAGCCCCCTTTTGTAGTCATATGAAATAAATTGCATTAATAATCTTTTACTCCTCATTTGGAAGAAGAATTACGAAGAAGTGTTAGATTTTAATGCAAGGGTCTTTGCACACGTAAATGATAGTGTTATAGAGCTGGTTATGATTCTCATCTAGGAAATGTGTGCGCTATCTAAAAAATTGCTCCTTCCATTCCAAATTGTAATTGTTAGTCGCTTTGACTTTTTTTAGATACATAATTTTTGTCATGTACATAGATATACACTATGGGCGTGATTGGTAGCCCTGATGGAGCCGTCCAAAGCGTCATCTGGCACCATGTCATGCATTGTCCTTGTGTTTGGTTCCCTGTGCCGAACGAAATCGATGGACCGGACCGTGCATTTGAGGCTCAACCAATGCATCTGCTCGCAAAGTATTTTTGCGTCCAGAAATCGGGCTTCCCATGCTAATTAGGCTGATGGTGTGGTGAGATCATTACCTCTGCTAAATTATACCCATGTGTCATACACTCAAAACTCACATCCATGCATGCAACCAAACAAGATGTCATCTCATACTGGACCAACAACAAAGACAACCAAACACGGCTGAGTGCACGGTTTGAGCATGCATCTTACCATCCTGAACCAGCTCTCCATCCCGGCTCCCCCTCACCAAAGCAACCAATCACGTCCTATATCTACATATGGTAAAGGCTATGTATATGACAAGTAGAATGATTTACAATTTGGAATGAATGGAGTAACAATTAGGGTGTATATGAGTTGTTGGTTGTAGTTTTTATTCTTTCTTGGCGACCCTTCTATACTAGAACTCACCATTTTGGGCTTGTATGAGTCTTCTTAGACTCTTTTTTCTCTCCTTAATATGATATAATGCGCAACTTTGGTCCAAGTTCAAGAAAACAAAAAATATACTAACCTCCATTATCAATGTATTATAGAAATTTTAAAAAATCTATAAAAATCATCACATAATTTTTTCACATCCCCAAACTAAATATTTTAGAATTTATGGATAGTAAACTTGTCACAAATTTCATTGAAACCATGTCCGAAGCATTAAGCACATGCGACTAGATGATGGAGTATTTAATTATATTTGGAATTCATATTTTTGAGTTTAGTGGACTCCATGTTACAGACTTGTAATACTAGAAAACTAATTCATTTTCTTTGTCGTTATTAAGTTATTAGAATTTAACAAATGGTGAAAATGGCTCCATGTCAAATATAATGAAATAATGTTTGTATGTGAATACATATGTATATTTTGAAAATTCTGGAGTTGAAAAATCTAGAAAAAGCATTATACATAAATACAATTTGAAGGATTATTAAGATAATTTTATTTAAAATTATGAAAATTAAAAATCTTAGAAAAATATTCAACATTAAGTAATTTCTATCATGTATATTTTACATTGTGACTAGAATACATACAAAAATTTAAATTTATATGCACCAAGTAAATGCTCCATGTTATATGCACTAAGTAAATGCTCCATGTTATATGCCCCATAAAGAGTGTCATTCTAGCTTTGTTCGAAGTCAAACAATATTAAGTTTGACTAAGTTTATGTTAAAAGTGTAAATATATATGATACCAAATAAATAGCATTAGATTCAACGTGATATTTTCATAGTACATCCATTTAGAGTCATAAATGCTGATAATATCTTGTATAAATTTTGATCAAACAAAATATTAGTATTTTAAAATATTGCTCTTATTGGGACGGTGCTAATATTTTAAAGTTAGTATATATTTTGATTGTGAAACTTATATTTGGAAATAAAAAGGTTACATATTGACCACATGCTTAGAAGAATGATTTCTACCTGATCCCACATGTTCTGTGTGATTGCCAAAATACATGGTCTAATATGTCCCGATGCAATCGGTGATATTTTAGCCATGTCATAACTTTGTATACATTTGGTGGCACATATTTGTAGTGATACCTTTAGTGGCACTATTTGGTGTCATGGTTTTAATTTTTTTTGATACATTAGCAGCAAAATTACTGAAATTTGATGCTCGAATTCTTAATTGTCATAACATTTCTAAATCAAGATAATACCACTTTGATAAAATAAATTAAAGTGATATTATGTTTAAGAATTCAAACATCAAACTTGGGATAGCTCTCTTCTTGTTAAAGTTATATGAAACTGTTTACTATATGAACACGCATTCGAGTCAATAAAGCCATAGTTAAATATTCATTTTTTTCCAAATCTGAACAAGGATGAAGTACAAAATATTTGATGGAACAAAAGAAAGATTCAAGAATTTAAATAATCCAAGCCCTTTATTTGGTAGGATCAAGTCGTAATGACTTAGATCAAAACAAACTAACATTCCATAGTGACACATGATAAACTAGGTTTAATTCTAGAGAAGTAACCAGACAAATAAACTTAAATTGGTTCATCCCTTAGAATCCTTACAGATTAAAGTGAAATGTTATATTTTCAGAAGTTTTTGATTATTTGCATTATAAATCAACAAATAGTGTATGACGCATTAATTCAAGTGCATGTTATATATAATTTTGCTCCTACTTGTTTATTCAATTTTCGCAATAGTATGCTCGCTTCAGATTACATGTAGATCCTATAGTTTGCTGGAGATTCTCATGTTAATAGGAACTAGAAATATAATATTGTTTAAACATTTATAAGACTAAAATGTGGCAAAACATGGTTTGCTTGTGTCAGGTTTCTAAAAAAGAAGCCACGTTAACAAAGCTAGGGTCTAGCTCAAGTGAGGACACAATTGGTACAAACAACTTTGCAACGTCAACATATGAGAGGAGATCCACGAGAATCAATTTGTAGGCGAAAATGAGAAGGTAGTTTGAAAGAGCTTTACTTGCATTGGGACAATTATTACGGGTGCTTTGATGGAATCTCAGCTCGTGGGCCAGGAGAAAGAGAAGCCAGACCTTGACAATCTAATTTCAAAGCAAGATGAGCCTATGGTGATCTCAGTCTGGGGAATGGGAGGTCTTGGAAAAACTACTCTAGTCAAAGAGGTCTATGAAAGCCAAGAGCTAAGTGGCTTATTTGAGAAACGTGCTTGTGTCACAATCATGCGTCCATTTATTCTTAGTGATGTCCTCGACAGCCTATGTATGCAGCTAGATCCAGAATACTATAACAAGAAGGGCAATGATTTTGGGCTAGGCAGAAGAAAAATAACAGAAAATGAAGCAACAATTGAAGAGTTGGGTATGCTGGGAAGAAAATTAACAGCTGAAGCATTAATTAAAAAGTTGGACAGTCTTTTAAAAGGAAAGAGGTGTCTGATTGTTCTCGATGATCTATCTTCTCTTGGGGAATGGGGCATGATAATTCGAAGTCTTCCTGTAATGAACAGTATGTGCCAGATTGTAATCACCACAAGAGAAGAGAATATCGCAAGGCATTGCTCACAAAAACAAGAAAACATATACAAGCTCCAGTTTCTCGAAGACAAGGACGCTCTTGACCTCTTCACCAAAATGGTATTGATACAGTATGTACAATCAATCTGCATTTGTGCTTTTATAGGTTATGGACAAATCACTTACTAATTTATGAATAATGATTTCAAAAATAGTGCTACCACAGTGAATTCAAATAGGATGTGACTAGCATTGCTCCCCTGTAGGATGTAGCCTACCATGTGCATAATGGATTTTCTAGTTGCACCGTGGTTACCAACTCCTCAATTTGCCCAAATGCAAGTTTGTTCGTCTTAATATTAGTAATTGGATGCCTCGACTGAGCCTCCATATTAATCCTCACAAAATATGCTATAAAAAGATTAATATTACGAATTCTTACAGAAACCAGAAATATTTAGCCTTTATACCACTATGGCTTTTTCCAACGACATTTTTACTATTAGTTTTATTAAACTATTGGTGATAATATATCACCATAGGTTCAAAATAAAACCAACCATGAAAATCATTTTCATGGCTGGTCCAGGAGAAGATCCGATGGTGAAAAACCAGCGGGAGCAGCATGCGCGTTCGTTTCTCTCGCTTTCTCTAGCTACTAACAGGCGGGGCTATACGCCCACATGTTGCCCCATGAATGGACGTGAGCAGATCACATGGATCCTTGGCCCCACCGTCCCTCTCCATCATGTGTATTCTCCATCCTCTCCATCCCTCCCAACGAAAGTGCCTTTCTCTATCCCTCCCGGCGACTTTCAACAGCAATGGCCCTCAGGTGCAGTGGCTTAGCGCGAGCGGCCGGGGGCGGGCGTCGCCCCAGCACGATGACATCCCAACGCGAGAGGCCGGAGCGGGCGATGCCCTGGCGCGAGCGCCCTAACGCAGCCTCTGCAAGTTTGCATCTTGGCGCGGCGGCGGGCAACGCCTATGCACGCAGGCCCGCACGTGGCCTCTAGATCTTAGCACAGAGGCGACTAGGGGTGGGAGGCCCGCCGTGGGTGACGCTCCAACACGACCTCTAGATCTCAACACAGGTGGCTAGGGGCAGGCGGTGCCCCAACGCAGCATCTAGATCTTGCACAATGGCATCTCAGAGCTGAGGCGTCCCTCGGTGGCGGTGGCCCCAAGCATCGACAATTATGTGTTTTTGTTTTTAAATTGATTTTCACCAACAGATGGTTACTAAAACTAGTGGTGGTATCAACTTATCATCGCCGTGTGATACTGAAGTCAGACATGATACCAACTTATGACCGTTGGTTTGTTGCAAACCGCGGTCATAACCTTGATTATCACTATCGATCATCACCGGCAAGGGTGAAAACCGACGATGATGGGCGTCCCACAACCAGCGGTCATAACCTCGATTATCACTACCGATTATCACCAACAAGGGTGAAATGGGCGATGATGGCCCTCTCAACCTGACGTTGATGAAAAATTATGGAGTTGTGTTAATTCGGTAGACTATAATCATCATCACCAATCTTATATAGCCATTAGATGTTTTTGTTTTCTGAAAAAAGTAATCCACCTTTGCCATTATGAAAGACACATAAAGTAACCACCTAAATTTGCATATAAATTATTTGCCAAATGCCAATATGCCTTGGAAAGATAATTTGAAATAACAACCTAAATTTGCATCTAGATTATCGACCTCTAGCATTATGAAATATAATGCAAAGTAATCCCTATGTTTGTTTTTGAATTATTCACATCTACCATTATGAAAGACATAATATAAAGTAAGCCCTTTAATTTATCTACACAGAATGTGTTTTAAGGGATCAAATACTTGAACATTGGGGCCTCAAATTTGTGTTTTGTTCAAAGAAATGTTGAGATTGCTATGATAACCGAAGTGGGTGCCCTAGGGAATTTTCGCCTATATTTAAAGAGAAGTTGAGAATGCGCTAAATAATCAGAGGACTAGCTTTAGTTAATTTGTGGAAATTGAATTGTTTAATTAATTATTGCTGTTAATAAGGTGCCTACCTGAACTTTCTCTTCGGTGCATGTATATACGTGAGCTATGGAGTCAGTTCTTGTTGGTGTATTACAATGTCACATTATCTAATCCTGTCATATATTGTGAGGTGTCTAACACAGCGTACTCCAATACATATTCGAAACTTTATTTATTTATACATAATTTTGCAAATCGTGGTAACTGGTAAGACGCAAAACTCATATACATGCAAACACTTCTAAATCATGTAATAAATCCATCCGTGTCAAAGTCAAGGATTTTCCGTCACAAGGAACCTAACCGGCTAAGCTATACAAATTTAACATTATGATATTTATGGAATTTGATTCTATCAATTGTAGGTATTAATTTAAGGAGGCCATAAATCTGGATGGTTATCCCACATTGATTGAAGAGGCCAGAACGATCCTAAGGAAGTGCAATGGACTTCCCCTTGCAATAGTACATTGATTGAAGTGGCTTCTTGGCAAAACAACCGAAGACTCGTATTGTGTGGAGAAAAATGAATGAGCATATTAGAGCTGAGATGGAGATGAACCCAGAGCTTGGGATAATAAGAGCTATCCTTATGAAAAGCTATGATGGTTTACCATATCATCTCAAATCTTGTTTCTTGTGTATGTCCATCTTTCCTGAAGACTACAATATTAGGAGAAGACGCTTGGTGCATCGGTGGAATGCAGAGGTTTACTCAAGTGAGGTTCGTGGCAAGTCTATGAGGGAAATAGCTGATAGCTACTTCATGGAGCATTGGAGCTTATTGAGAGGAGCATGGTCCTACCATCCAAAGAATCAGGACAGTCAATTGGTAGTAGAAAAGGTATTTCTTCCTGCAAACTTCATGATCTCATGCGTGATATCAGCATCTCAAAGTCAATGGAAGAGAATCTTGTGTTTCAAATGGAAGAAGGATGCAGCTTAAACACCCAAGGTACTATACGTCATCTTGCTATAAGCAGCAATTGGGAGGGTGATCAGAGTCAGTTTGTGAGCACAGTGGACTTATCTCGTATATAAGGTCATTAACAGTGTTTGGAAAGTGGAAGCCATTTTATATTTCTGATAGGATGAAGTTGCTACGCGTGCTGGACTTGGAAAGCACCTCCGGTCTTGTGGATCATCACCTTGAACCAATTTGGAAGCTCCTTCACCTAAAATACCTTTCTTTAAGGGAATGTCGTGGTATTTATTACCTGCCAGAGTCGCTTGGTAACCAGAAGCAACTGGAAACACTGGATGTTACTAATACACGGATAGTCAAGCTACCGCAGGCCATCACCAAGCTTAGGAAGCTACAATATATTCGTGCAGGGAATGTGTATAATGAAATTTTTAATGCTTCCTCATATGACCAACTTGTGAAAAAATTACCAGTGCCAATACAGAACAAGCTATGTGTGTGGACCCTCACTTTGATTGCCTTTTGTCTCTCAAGTTGCAGCCTTAAGCTTGGGAAGTCTATAATTGACATCGAGGATGAGGACCCAATAAACAGGCGTGATCTGTGCACATTCTATTGCTGCGCAGTGTTCCCCTTTTTAGCAAGGCTTGCAGATCCAGTTGGAGTTACAGTGCCAAGAGGGTTCAGGAAGATGAAAGCCCTGCACACACTGGGTATGGTGAACATTGCACGAGGAGGAGAAGGCCACCCTACAGGAAATTAAAAGGCTCACTCGGCTATGCAAGCTAGCAGTGACAGGCATCAACAAGAAAAATTGCCACGAGTTTTGTTCCACCCTTGTCCATCTCAGCTCTTTGGAATCACTGTCAGTGCACTCAGTGGAGGAGGAAGGTCTACTTGACTGCTTGGATAGCCTGTGCAGGCCTCCTGATAACCTCCAGAGCCTCAAGCTGTATGGCACTCTGGCCAAATTGCCAGAATGGGTCGCGGGTCTCCATAATCTTGTGAAGCTGAAGCTGGAATGGACCAGGCTAACAGAGCTGGATGGCACCATACAAGTCCTTGGCAAGCTACCAAACCTGGCCACCCTTCGTCTACGGTACGGCTCTTTCGAGGCAAAAGAGCCCCGTCATTTATCTTGCCGTAGGGAGGCATTTCCGAGTTTGACAGCGCTGGAGACAGTGCTGGATACCGGCATCGAATCGGTGCTGTTTGAAGAAGGAACAGCGCCTAAGCTTGAGCTGTTGCTTGACTGGGGCCGAATCGCTTTTTCTGGGCTATCATGTCTGCCGAGCCTCAAGGAAGTTATGATCCATAAGCATGCGCCGTTTGTGTATGCCGTGCAGCCCCAGCTTACCAGGAATCCAAACAAGCCCGTTCTGAAATTTTTTTGAGCTGAGCTCCACATGTACTCAGTCGGCCGCACCTGTGCTCTATTCCCTTTTTATTTACTTTTTTCTGCTTCCTGCTTCCTTATTCAGCTCCATTTTATGTGTGTACCTGAAACAATGTTTCCTTGTATGCGTGTTAAATTAAACTTGTACGGTCGTTGTACCACTAGTGGCCTGGGTGTTTGATCTTGTGGTACCGATTGAGGAGCCTGCCTTTGGGCAACCAGTCCACCCCCAAATAAGTTGTATTAATTTACTTTGTGTTTATGCATTTGGATCAGAATAGTTGGTGTGCTTTACTCTGCACTGCACTACTGCCGCCAGATGTTATGTAAGTGAGACATGTTCAGTTCATTCAGTAATTCTATTCAAAGACTCCAGAGGCACCAGATGTTATGGATTACGAGCTGCACAGCTAGCTTATATATGCTGGCATGCTGCACTAGATGACTAGATGTGCACGCACCTACAATCGCTGGACATGATGTGTTGGTTGCCATTTTACCTGATGGCGTTGCATATGTATAGTACTACTAAGCTACGATATTCCCCGTGTGTTGCCATTCGCAATCGCTGGACATGATGTTACCGCAGGAATAATGCTGGTATGTGGTCTATTGGCGTTCTTTGTTGTTTGTTCTGCCTTAGTGTCGAATGGAACAGTGAAACATGTTCATTTGAGTAATTCTACTGCAAAGAATCAGTATCATTGCCTTGTTAGTTTTAATTCCCCATCCTCAGGTCTCTGTGTGTAGTATCTGTTATGTTGCTTAAAGCTCATCAGAAAGATATATGGTTTCATGAACTCAGACATGGGATCGCACAATTCTACATTTTTTTTGAAACTGTCGGAGCTTTTATTACTCATCCGACCCAGCAGAATTGCTGGTCACCAAATCCTCCAAAGCTAGAGGAACACGCCCTCCCGAGTGTTATAACATACACTTGGGAGATTACAACCTAGGGCAGCTAATGAATGAACTATCCTATTACAATCACGTTTGCAAACAGAAGTAGCACAATTATAAAGTTCATCACTAATGATATGTTTAATCTCCGCAACAATGCCTCCAGTTGACGCCAGCCTGTAGTCATCGGTTTCAAGTGCACTCTTCACCAGCGATGCATCCACCTCCAAAGTGATTCTTGTGATTCCTTTTACCGCCTCCTGGAGACCGCAAGACACCCCTTCAATTCAGCATGGAAAGCGTCAAGGAGATGATCTTCCCGGCCTGCTCCCGAGCATACAGCACGGCCTTGCTCGTCGCGGATGACAAAACCCCATCCACCATCCCTGCGCGAGCTGTCAAATGCCCCATCAGTATTGAGTTTGAGTTCGCCCTCTCCTGGTTTACGCCAACGCGGTCTCTGATGAGGATCCAGCAACAGCCCACGTTCAGGCTTCATCGCTGTATCAGCCTGATGAAACGCGGCGATGTATGCTAGCTCTGCCTCAGTCCTTCCTTCCTTCCTTCCTCCATCTATTCTGTTCCCCCACCATAGCCACAACAACATAATCACTGTTAATTGTTCTTTCCCCTTCAGTTTCAGAACGGTTTCCACCATTTCTCTAGCTGATCAAGCTTCAGCTAATCTGCACCTTGCTGCTTCTAAGTTCAGTCCACCCTCATCCAGTCCCCAGCACATGCAACATCTAGTTTCGATCTGCATGGCTCTCCTCTGCAACACCTTTCTCATAGCCAAAGTATTGTGAGTCAGCCAGCCTCCATAAAAATTGTTTCACTTTGGGTGGACATTCAGCCTTCCCTAGCCTGTTCCAGAAATTTGTTTCATCACTTGCACTTCCACAGCCTGAGCCCGAGCTCCTACGCTGTCCCCTCAACACTGTTCCTCGGTGGACTTATTTGTAAGCTGACTTAACTGAGAATCGGCCTTTACTAACAATAGTGCCATCCAATCACATCCTCCATTTCCACATGCACCGGGATTGTTTTGATTATCTAGACGTCCTCTTCCCAGAAAGTTTGGTTTAGGAGAGCGACATCCCAATGAGCAATAATCGGGTCGATCAGTTCATCCACGGTGGTCAACATGTTCCTGCCCCTCGGTGTAATATGTTAGAAGATTGACCCAAATAATAATTCCAAATAAACCCCAAAGGTCCACTCACACGTACACGGTATGGTGGAGACTTTAGTCCCACATTGCTATTCTAAGAGGAGTGAGGCAAACTTAAATAGTTAAATTATATCCATCTTGCTAAAGCTATTGGGGAGAGAAAAAGAAAGAAACACGCGCGCACGCTGGCCATGTGGTGCGGGGTGATTCGCGGTCCGGCGATTTCTCTACTCTATATTTTTTCTTGCATGGAGAAAATTGCGCTGGCCTATTTTGGCAATCAATTATTCTCGTATTAATTGATATTGCTTTAATTGCTCTAGTCAACTAATGGCAGGTCAATCACCTTAATGCTGTGATTCGCGGCTAATTACTTACCTTAGTTACGACGCGTGTATATATTGGGACGAGACGTCGTCCTTAGTACAGACAATTCATCTCCTCCTTGTGCCACTATGCTGCGTTGCCGCCGTCTTCCCCATCCTTCCGCCAACGTGTCATCGGCGCCGAGAGAGCAGATCTCCGAAGCCTACATCCCCTCGTGTCCTAGCACGGGTAGGGCCATATCAAGTTTTTGGGAAGCATCGTCGCGATTGCTCGTTGTGCGTCTTCTTCCCTCTACAACGGTCTGCTTCGTCTAATTTTGAGCTACTTGTAGGGCCGACAATTGCACGGTAAGAATGTCTCTACTTTCTTTGTTATTCGCCCTTGCGTTCCTTCTGTTACTAGCAGAGAGTTTGAGTTTGTCTCGGATCGTAGTGCTAGTATTAAATGACACACCTATGATGTTGTTGTTCTTTTCCTCATTATTGAAATCAATTTATGCTCACTAAATTGCTATTATTTCGAACATAATAGCATTTCTGGTAATGTCCCTCGGCATCCAGGGATCCGCCCAAATGTTGATACTTATGATTCCCTCCTTCGGGGTTTGAATTCCCAAACATTTACTCCTCCACGTGTAGGAGCACCCCTGCTTTGCCTCTGCATTCAGTACGCCTGAGTTCAGGTAATCACTGCGTTCGGCTGGTAAAGTTTCAGCTTGTTTCAGCTTATTCTCTCTCACAGAACACTATTGAATCATCCGAAATCATCCAAAATCTACTGTGCACTTTACCAGCCGAACACAGTGATTAATATTTCGCTTACAGCAAGTGAGCACAGAGCGATGTCGGATCGGAAATGCTCGGCCACGGGCGTCCGCCTCGTCAAACGTGGCTCCCAGTCCTCCCTCCCTCGTGCACAGCTGACTAGCCTCTAAAAAAGAAAAATTCCCCACTTAGACTGTGGTGTCCTCCTCAGCTACTCCAAGCCTCTCCGCACCACACCTCTTGCCGACCCCGATCGCTGCAAAGTCTCGCAGCAGAGGTGCTCTCTTTCCCGCTCCCTCCCTAGCATGAACCGCCTGCTCCGCGAGTCTCTCCCGCATGCCCGGCCCTTCCCGCACTGCTCCTTCCCGCGAGGCACCCGGCCCTTCCTTTGCTGCTCTGCGCGCCAGCGCCGAACCACCATCCAGCGCCACACCCCATCCACCTCGCCCCCCGCCGCGGAAGAGGAGGCAAGGGAGGCCTGCCCCTGTGCCTAGGGAGTCCTGTGTCTGCGCCTGTGCTCTCATTCACCTCGCGCCATCGGCAGGAAGGGGAGGCCTGCGCCATCACAGTTCCCCACCAGGTAGGCCGTGGCCTCCAGCAATGTCGTGTTTTTCAAGTGTTTTCGGGCGTTTTCAGACATGTTGCAAGCCTATATTTCAAGTGTTTCAATTATTTCATATGTATGTTTCAAATGTTTTATATGGATGTTGCAAAAGTAGATCGGGATGTTGTATATATTGTAATGACTATACACGCATATGTTTCAAGTGTATGTTCAAAATGTTTCATCTGTTCTAGATGAATGTTGCAAGTGTTTTGATCTGGATGTTGCAAAATAGATCTGTATGTTGCATATACATGCATGTTTTTTTTGCAAGCACATGTTTCAAGGTTTTCTAGGTGTTTCATACGTATGTTTGCAAGTGTTTCATCTGGATGTTGTATATGTTTGGAATGGTTTTCAAATGTTTTTCAGATGTTTTCCCAAGTGTTTCAGACGCTTGTTTGAAGTGTTTAATCTGTCTTCTTTTGTATGTTGCAACTATTATATCTTAATGTTTCAAAAGTAGATAGGGTGTTGCATATGTGATATGCGTGGGAAGCGGCCGATGGCGCGACGATGTTCGGGGCGGCGTGGACGTCGTCCGGGCCAGCGCCGGCCCACTGCTAGTGTGCTCGCTCGCGAGTTCGACACGCTAGGCACTCACTCGCTCCCTGTAGGGACAGCATCCGAATGCTAGCGTCCAGATCTGACATGCCGGCGCTAGCATGTCCCATGTCAGACTCCGCCATGCTTGTTTGGCTAACGATACCATGTTCAAATAATGGAGATCCCTGAAACCCAACCCGCCCTCTGCCTTTAGACTCACCAGCTTCTCCCATCCAACCCAATGCATACTCCCCTCCTTATCCTGATTATTCCACCAAAAGCGAGCTTTTATTGCACTGATCTGCTCTTTGATGATATCACAGCATCCCATTGCGAACACCGGTATATAGCCTGAGCCACGGCTTTGATTAAAATTTCTTTGCCGGCTCTGGAAAGCAGCCATTCTTTCCACCCTTGAATGGGTTGTCAGACCCTTTCCTTAAAATAACCAAAGACACTGCACCTCGATTTACCCACAAACACCGGAAGACCGAGATCTTTCTCGTTCATCGTCTCTGATCTTATGTTTAACGCCTCCATCACCCCTCTCCTATCTGAACATGACAGCGGACTTGTCCGCATTGATCAACTGTCCGGGCCCCTCTTCATATCATCTGGGCTGAAAACGATCGAAATTTTCAGCGAGAATAGTATTTTTCCACATTGATCAACTGTCCCAAAATCGCCCTCTTCATATATATTGCTAGGATCTTCTTCAGCTGCTGTGCCTCTGCTGAGTCCGCTTTGCATAGGATGAGCGACCATTATACTTTCTTCGAATGGCCGAAACTGTCATCGCAAAGAACCAGAAAGGGTTTCAAACTTTCAATATTCCTCCAGCCAACAAAAGTATCAATGTTATGACCAACAAAAGTATAAAGTTGCTCGATGGTTTTTGTTTATCGGCCCAGCCCAGCCCAGTACTGCTCATGGTTCTTATTTTTTCTCTCGAACAGAAATAAAAAAGAATTGCACAGGTCTCGAACCTGTTTTTTATGCAAAAAAAAAGGTTGCAGAATTCTGTTGCACGAGAGAAAATCTGACGCCATCCCTGCGGAAAAAGTCCATTTTACCTCACCGAACTATCCTCGAAGTTTATTTTCTCTTCCTAAACTTTAAAACCGGATAAACCACCTTCCTCAATTTTTAAAACCATTTATTTTACCTCCCTAACTCTGTTATAGGTGGTTTTTAAAGGCGGTTTTGTTTTTTTCTTTTTTATTTATTTTGACTAAATATTTGAAAAATTATAGTAAATCACAAAAAAATCATAAATAGAAAATCTAATTTTATCGGACTTCACATGAGTAGATCTCTACATAGTAAACATATAATATAGTATGCTTTAATACAAAGTTTTTATTGTACCTTTAGATATATGTTTTTCTGTAATTAATTCATAACTTCAATTTCTATGGTCCAATTGTGGTAAAATTTTATGGTAGTCTAATTATTGTATGCTTTAACTATACTAAAAATTTCAAATTCGTTTATATTTTTACACACTTTTAACTTTTTTTTAAACTATTTAACAAGCATAAAAATAAATAAAAAGTTATAGATGATCCAATGAGAATGAAATTTTTACTATAGTTCAATTATATAATAATTAGCCCATCATAAAAATTTCACCATAATTACACCATAGAACTGCAGCTTTGAATTAATTACATAAAAGCATAGATCTAAAGTTACAATAAAAACTTTGTGCTAAAACATATCATATTATATATTTCACTCATGTAGAGTCTAAGAAAATTGGATTTTCTATTTTATAATTTTTCTATGATTTACTATGGGTTTTTAAAAATTTAGTCGAAATAAATCGAAAAGAAAAAGACAAAACCGCTTTTGAAAACCACCTATAACCCAGTCAGGGAGGTAAAATGAATGGCTTTAAAAGTTGAGTAAGGTAGTTTACCCGGTTTCAAAGTTCAGGGAGAAAAACTAGACTTGCATAGTTCAGGGAGTTAAGAAGAGACTTTTTTCCATCCGTGCTGGTCTACCGAGTCCAAATGCGTTTTGGTTCTCCGGCGGCCCGGCCCAACTAGCCACCAATTGAAGAGAATCGCACACGCACTGCCGATTTTTTTCTCATCTAATAAAAAAGGGACAATTGTCTAGCGGACATCTAAAGTAATGATTCTTTGTTGGTGGATATCCACTTTAGAGTATTTTGCCAGAAGACACTCTGGTTCGGTGAAATTAGGCCACAAGACACTGTGGATCGGTTGCAGCTGGTTGAGGAGAGAGAAAATTTCGTTTTGGACATCCGGTGCCCCCGAGCCACAGTTGGATCCACCCCTCTCCCTCTCACTGATGCGCGGGCCCCATTTGTTATCTTCTTCTTCCTCCTCTTCTCTTCTTCCATTGGTCGGCCTCCTCCACCTCCTCCGCGCGCTGCTCGGAGGTCCGCGCCCACTCGTGTCGTCCTCTAAGGTCCGCGCACTCGCGTCGTCCTCGGAGGTCCGCGCTGCTTGGAGGTCCACATGTCCGCGCCCACTCGTATCATCCTCGAAGGTCCGCGCACTCGCGTCGTCTTCGGAGGTCCGCGCTACTCGGAGGTCCACATGCTCCCGGTGTTAAGATGCTCGAGCGGTGGAGGAGGAGCTCCACAGAAGCGGGCAGATGTAGGTGGAACGACAGCGCGCGCGATGGGGCATTCGTGCTAGTGCACTGTGACCATGGGAGAGGTGCTGCGGGCCCAGCCATGGCGAGGGGCCGGAGGAGGAGCACCGCAAGGGCGCGGATGGGGCATGCGCGCCGGTGCTTGACGTCCTCGGACGACCTGCGGGCGTGCGAGCGGGCACGCGACCTGCGCACGGACAGACGCGACCTGCTGCTGCGGACGCAAGCATCCTGCAGACCGGTGGGGGCGGCTGCGGACCTGCACACGACCTACGGGCGGACGCGGGCGGCTGCAGACCGAGGCCGCCGCCAGCGCGGCAGAGCGCAAGGGAGCGGGGCCGGAGGCAGACCCAGGAGGTGCAAGGCGCCGCCACCGGCGAGCTCTAAGCTCTGAACTCCCGGCCATAGCAGGGGCAACGAGGAAGAAAAAAGCGGCAGGGGCAAGAATATCATTTCACCGCTGTTCTTTCTCCTCAACCGGTTACAACCGGTCCACGGTGTCTTCCGGCAAAGAACGACGAATTTGTAATGTCTACCAACAAATTTTGACTTTGGTGATATTCATTGGCCGATTACGTGTTTCTCCATCGTCCCACGGCTAATTTTCCCTTAAAAAAAACTGAGCTGCCCTCCCATCCAACTTCTAGACGGTACCCGCCGCCGCCAGGCCGCCGGCCGCCGGCCGCCGGCCGCCCTGCTTCGCTCGGCCTGCCCTGTCCGTCGCCTGCCGCCACGCCGTTGCAGGAGCTTCTAGGTGTTGCTTGATCCTTCCCCTCAAGCGCTTTCTCGCCGCCTCACCGGCCCTCAGGCGGTTATTCCCTTTCCCCCTCTTTTGAGTGCCCCTGGGGTTTCGCTGGAAATTTCTTCGTGGTTTAACCATGGGATGTCAGTCTATCTTCTTGCCCATCCGTGATTTGGCCTGGGTATAGCACGTTGGGTATTGGCCAACTCCATGTGTCTTATATACTTACCTGATGCATTGTTTGCGAAAATAGTATCTTATACTGACATAATGCATTGAGTGTATCATGCATAAATTAATTAATTTGTAAAATGCTAGACTTTGCTTCTTGGTGAAGAACATAAAATCTTCAAAGTTCAGTATTTTGATAGCCATTTCCACTAAACTTATCATCAAAGGAACATCGTTTGCTTGTTGGTACGTATTTGCTTTGTAATTCAATATAAATTTTACCTTTCAGATCATAGTCATATGCACTTCTTCAGAATCAGTACCGTTTTGTAACAGGCTACTTTTGAGTCTAGACTAGAGTTGTGCCATGAAAATTTCAGACACCTAATTTTCAATCAGTGCAAAAATCCACCACAAAAGGTTTTAAATTATTGTTGTGCCTAGAAATAGATAACCCTCTCCAGCAACAGCTATGTTGTCTGGATGCAACTCAAAAGGAGCTAGGTCTGTTACCTGATAAAAAAAGAGAAAATGAAAAGAAGAAAAACAAGTGTAACTCTTTAAAAGCCAGTTATCTAGACGAAAGACATGTCTGTCACATTACTCTGCTTGCTGGCCATCATTCCTCATACACTCTTTTTGTACGGAATTGGCTCCTAGGAGCAGAAAATGGACCCAAAAAAGGAAGAGCAGTGAGACGGAATAGGGAGTGCAAAATCTCTATAGTCTAATACATCAAAGACCTGCAAGAAACCGGGCAGATAGGTGGCAGATCCCACAAAGAGTCAGATGAATCATTCCCCGCGTCAAATAGATCCTTGTTGTCCTGAGCTCTGTCCATGCCGCCATGGGGTGACGTAGAGCTCTTCTTCTCCAGCTTAATCTTGTCCACCTCTGCGACCACCAAGCAAGCATTCTCAGTAGCCATGTTGCGTCCATCCGAAGGTGTTAAGCTGGTGGTGTTGAGTGCCCATGATCGTTCATACTGTTGTGCGGCTAGCTGAAACTCCTCACCGCCTCCACCGACCAAGTATGGCCTGTAAGCTTCCTCAGGGAGGATGGGAGTGCGGATGCCATGGCTGCTCATGGCGAAGCTAACGATGCTGGAGCTAGGACTGCTACTTGGGCTGACGCTACTGGTGGTCGTGGTGATGGTGCTGGTGCTAGTGGTGCTGGCTGCGGCGGTGGCAGCTCTGGCGACGTCGCCTGCAGCACGACGGTACGCCGCTGCTGCAGGGAAGAAGTTAACGGTGTGCTGCTGCTGGGACGCCGCGTTGTTCTTCTTCATCCTCTTGTGGTTGAGGATGCCACGGATCCTCGCCGCGAGCGGCGAGTCCGGCGGCGAGGCGCCGTGCGCGCCGGCGGCGGCGAAGTTGGTGCGCGTATTGGCGCCCCGGAGCAGGCAGGCGGCCTCGTCGTAGGCCCGCGCGGCCTCCTCAGCCGTCTCGAACGTGCCGAGCCACATCCGGATCTTCTGGGTGGTGTCCTTGATCTCAGCCACCCACCTCCCCGATGGCCTCTGCCGGACACCCACGAACTTGCTGCTGCCGCCACCGCCGCCGACGCACTTGGTTCTCGTTCTTGGCTTGGTTTCCTTTGTGGGCGCTGGAGGCTGGTAGCTGCTGTACTGCTGCTGGTGCTGGGGATGGCTTTGTGGCTGCTGGAACTGGAGCTCCATTGGGAACTGGAGGGCGATCTTTGCATGTGCTGTGAGAGAACTTGATCTGGTCTGAACTTTGGGGCAGGAGATGGTGTCTGAATTTAAGGGGGGAGGGCGTGGTGCTGAGATGATGCTGGGTGTAGTGGGGGCCTTGTCATGTTCTCCTTGTCTCTGATGTCCAAATCTTCCTAGTGCCAAGAAAGGTGTCTGAGTTTTCTAAGAGGGGGCATTGCAATGGGAGCATGATGCTGTATCACGTAGCGTATTTCAATGTTTGATGTGGTCGTAGTGGCTGACATGTTTGGTGTTTACCCTTTTTGACAAAATCAACTCTTTGTTTCCGGCTGTGAAACTAGCTTGGGTGATATGTTTGATGCTTCAATCGATGTGGTAACCATGGGCTCCAAATTAACCCCACCCCTTGGTAACTGTGGGCTTGGAGTCACAAAGAATAGCTGAAGCATAGTTGTTCACTACGCATGGAATTTTATCGTCGGCAAAATCCTTTTGTTGCTGAGTTCTTGAGTTCAAACCCCGTTTTTATAAATGGGAAAAATCTAATTCCTTCTAGATTAAAATGCCTTGTTCGTTCTTCTGGTCAAGAATATTCATCTAATGATTCACAAGGAATTATCTATTATATTAATATGTGATAACAATGCTGTTGAATTCCTTCTAGATTAAAATGCCTTGTTCGTTCTTCTGGTCAAGAATATTCATCTAATGATTCGCAAGGAATTATCTATTATATTAATAGTGTTTCTGCAGGCCTTTGGCACTTGCTGGTTCCATGAATTTTGTATGAGATCCACAGCTTCAAAAAAAAATTGTGCTGGTTACTGGTCACTTTCTTTTATATATATATGTGAAATGTGCCCAACTAATGTTTTTGCAGTTAGGTTGTAATGAAATCTCTCCCGCCGGCACTGCATTACCGTTCGCCTGCTTCAAATGTTTAGTATCTTATTAGCGTACTAATATCTGCTTTGTCGCTAACTACCTGCTTGCAGATATTTTAAACGTCACGCCATCATCTTCCCCAAGGATACTGAGGCTGTTCATGGTGGCACGACCATTTGCCACTTGGCGGCGCCATTGGAAGGTTCATGTTACTGCTTGACGCCTGTCATTGGAAGGTTCATGTTACTGCTTGACGACATGGGGTGCCTCAGTCAGAGATTAAACAAGAAGATAGCATCGCCGTTATATACACATGTAAACACTTATATTAAAGAATTAATTAAAGAATGGAATGCGGTTAGAAACACAAGGCACTGATCTGCGATGTACAATGTGACCGAGGCATCATATATATATTATATATTTATGGTGGGTCAGGGTCAGGTTCATATCACAAGGATCTCTTGAAGACTCTTAAAACTTCTTTATAAATCTCTATGTGTGATTGTATTAATTCATCTACTCATACTCATTTTTTTATTTTTCCGTTTGACTAGATTTTGTACAGACATGGCTCCATAATGTCTGAAGAAATAGCAAATTCATAAAGTAAATTTTGGTTTAATAGGAAGATGCTTCGTTCAGCAACGTAATAGAGTGGTTCTTAGAATGTTTGACCCGGGTTGCTGTAAACTTTGTTAAGTGTTGTTTGGTCAAAGATACTGCGAAGAACTTTGATTGTAAAGTGGTAGTCGTGTGAGGTTTCAAGTAGTTTCAGTTGTTTACCCTGTCCTTGCATTGGTTTCTGAGTTCATATTCTGGCTGCAATTTGTGAAATGGAGTCACAGGAGGTTACTCTCTCCAGTCACAAATACTTGACATATTTGACTTTGCATGATATTCAATTCGTATCTTTTGATCACTGATCTCTTCTAAATATAAAATCTTTCAGGTATAATAAGTTTTGCAAATATTCTGAATATAAATTGACATTTATAACTTGTACTTTTTTTTGTGAACATAACTTGTACATTTCTAAACTATAATGTTTATAGTTTTTCAGGTTTGACTCCTAAACATAAACATAAGTTTTTGTGGTAGAGAGAGTACCAAAGTTTTCTTTATGTAGAGCATATTTGTGTGTTCGAGATGACAGTTTGCAAGTTAATGGAAAATATGGCATGTGTGGTAGTCAAAACTGCTGGTGACTTCAGAAACAAAGTTTACATGGCGTACGTTTGAGCAGGGCTCAATGGCTGATTAACCAATGTTGAGAGATGTGGAGGTCAAAGTTAGTGGACTCCATCATCTCCATTTGTATAATGGAAACGAACAACATTCTTGTTAATTGTTAAACTAATGTAGTGCCGGCCAGAGAGTTTCTAGAGCCAACAAGGTTTCGTGGGAAGGCCTGCTGAAACAACCACAGTACATATATATCGATTTTCAGTTCCAGAACGTCTCATGAGGGAGTATATAAATTACTCCAATTTATGCTGTCTTCGTCTTCTCTGTTCCTCAGCAGCCAACTACTAGTCGGTAACGCCCTGTGCCCCTGTCCGGCCGGCAAACATTCTTTCTCCCGGACTTATTAGAAGGATATTTCCTTTAAACAGATTTCAGAATGTTGCTTGGATTTAAAATATATAATCCTAGGCGATTCGGATGAGAGTTCCTATACGCAAAAGAAACCTAACAAGTAACGCTGTTGATTTTTGCAGGTAAAAGGAGTAATACTAGTATATAATATTAATTAATTAATGCATAACCTAGTGCTGAACCTGTTGGCCAATTGGATCCTGGGCTGTGGCTGGCCTTAAATTTTTTTGGCAAGCATTTGTCTAGTTTGTTTGGATTGGTTTAGCTTATAAGTCATGGCTAAAAATACTGTTGGCTGATTTAGTATAAGAGAAAAATATTATTCATTGACTGATAAGTCATGACTTATAAGTTAAATATGTCCCAGCGAACATGCTGATAGAACACGTACGTAGGCGAGTGACATGTGTGGGCTTCCCTAACGCCCTAACATGGACTACTACCTCAACTTCTACGTCTGTTCCTCGAATTCATATCATCTAGTAGCCTCACAACATGGCAGAGTTTCTTGTACAGGAGTCGAGAGCTCCATCCGACAAAAAGCTGAGGCATATACTGGAGCGCACATTGCAGCTAGGAGTGAGCTACAGTACCTGTGTTGGTCCCATCAAATAAAGCTGAGTACTTCCGCTGGTGAAAGGACATAAAGCTGTCGGACAAGAGAGCTGCCTCCTTGTTGGGTGGTGTTAGGATTCGAACTAAAATTTTGAGGTGTGACGAAATGATGCTGTATGGAGTGTTTGATACTAATAAAAAAATAAATTACATAATCCGTTAGTATTACACGAGACGAATTTTTTAAACCTAATTAATTTATCATTAGCACATGTTAATGTAGCATCACATTGTCAAATCATGCAATTAGTTTCGTAATTAGTCTATATTTAATATTCCATACATATGTCCAAATATTTGATGGGACATCGACTAAAATTGAGGAGGTGCAACAAAATAACACCTGTTGTAAGGCTATCTCCAACAACAACACCCAACATATAAAACTCATTCATTCTTTGGGTAGCGCTATAAACAAAAGGTTCAATACATATTTGACATCTTCTCCAACAACAAGACACAAAAGAGAATTCTTTCTGCAAATGGGTTTTCAGGAGAGAGGATGTCCATATTTGAGTTGTGCCTCTTAAACAACCCAAAATAGGTCTATCGTATAAGTACTCTGTTAGAAACTGATTTGGATCTCTTGCTACTTATTTTGGGTTTAGATGCCTATATAGATTCTTTATTGAAGACAGTCTAAGAGCTCTAACCTTTTTTTTTCCTATAAGAGTGTTGCTGCTCTTGGCTAAGGCCAACAAACTTTTAGCCTGCATTGGTGAAACCCTTATGCCAATTGCATTGCAGCGTCATAGCATGCAGCCAACACCCGACGGTCTCAATACATCAATCCAATATTTTCTCTTTTGAAAAGATTAGGTCTGTTTATAGAAATTTCATTAAAATTTATAGAAACCAGTTCAATTTCACAACAAAAATATAGAAAATCCTCCGTCTCAAACATAAGCACTATTGTGAGATTTTCTGGCGTCTTTGGCATCTTTGTAACTTCTCTTGTTTCTAAAAAGGTTTGGATTTGAAGATTTGGGTTGGGTAGTTAAATCGAGTCAAACTTCTTCATCTGTGGTTAAGTTTATAGAAAAATACACAACCATCGAATTAGTTTAGTTAAATTCTACATGGAATATGTTTTGATAGATGTATTTATTCGAACTTGTAGATGTCAATGTGTTTTTCTAAATAATTGGTCAACGTTGACAAATTTAATTTAAAATAAAGTTAACGGACTATAATTTAGAACATGTATAGGGTTAGAGCAAGGCTAAAGATACAAAAGGTGTCTAGTTAGCGAGAGCTGGTTCATACGTAGAGCAAGAGGAATGTTTATTGGAGACTAAACCTAGATCCCAGATGAAAAGACAACCGTGTACCGTATTTGGATTGTGTCGTAAGGATTCACGCTACGATAATGATATGTCACAGGCGTCCGTCCCATCCGAATGGACCGCTCCGCGCGACCTACCTACATAGCCTACGCGGCTCGCTTCGCGTGCCCGCACCCCCGCCCGCCCGTGTCGTTGCTCGCTCCCGCTCGCGCTGCTCGCTTCGCGCGCCCTGCGCCGTTTGCTCACTCCCGCCCCCGTGGATTCACCCTAGACGTTGCTCGCCCCGCATGCCGCGGCCGTCTCGCAGGGCCACCTCCACCGCTCCAGTTCGCCGCACCGCCCGTCCATGTTGCACTGAAAGCGTATGTTGCAAATGTATGTGTCAAGTGTTTCATATGTTTCAGAGGTATATTGTAAAGGTAGATCCCAGATGTTCGCACGTTGCAATGGCTATGCACGTATGTTTTAAGAGTTTTTTTCAAAATGTTTTATTGTAAAGACAGAGGATGTCGCCTAGAGGGGGTGAATAGACGTTTCTAAAAATTAACACCTTAAAATATGAAAATGGTTAGTGTAGCTTTTAATTACTTAAAAGCTTCCAAATCAGAGTATTAAACC